AGCCACTCTGTGGGTGCTGGGGATCAAACCTGAGTTCTGTAGAAGAGCGGCCACTCTTAACCACTGAGGCGTCTCTCCTCACTTTTTAAGTGTTGTAGTATAAGACAAATACAAATATGACGTTGTTGAGGACCAGAGTTTTCACTGTGGCATGTAAAAAGTGGAGGGATTTAACTAGGAAAGTATCCTATGAACTCTTTAGGTAAAAAGGCTAAGTGGTCAAGAGTGGTATTGGTAACAGGCTAAGTGCTGGCAGTTCATGTGCCTTCTGATAAACAATGAAGGTGAGCAGTGTAATATTCCTGTCAGAAACTGTTAACCTGAATCCACTGCGGGACAACTGCAGGGCCTGGAGAGGATGGCTCAGCGGTGAAGAGAACTTGCCGATCTTGCAGAAGACTTGAGCTCAGTTTTCAGCACCCACTAGTTGTGAAACTCGCAACCACCTAGAACTCCAGCTCCAAGGGATCCAACACTCTCTTTTGGTCTCCAAGGAAACTAGACATGCATGTGGTGTACAGATATGTATGCAGGCAAAACACACATACTCATAAAAATAAAAAATCTGTGGGGCAGTGGTGGTGCACGCCTTTAATCCCAATACTCGGGAGGCAGAGGCAGGCAGATCCCTGAGTTCAAGACCAGCCTGGTCTACAGAGTTCCAGGACAGGCAGGGCTACACAGAGAAACCTTGTCTTGAACAACCAAAATAATTAAATAAATAAAAATAAACTAAAAGTCTTTAAAAAGAAAATTAATGAAGGGTGAATCCTGGAGCATAGCAGTGTTACCAGCGTACCCAGGTGAGAGGTGCAGGTGCTCAGCTGGCATGGTGGTGTTACCAGCGTACCCTGGTGAGAGGTGCAGGTGCTCAGCTGGCATGGCGGTGTTACCAGCGTATCCAGGTGAGAGGTACGGGTGCTCATTTTACCAGTTGTGTAAACTGAGCATGGTGGTCCCTCTCTGTAATCTCATCACATAAATGGCTGAGGTGGGAGTTCTGTGCTAGTTTAAGCCATACAATCAGACTGTCTCAATTTTTTTCCCTCAGAATTAAAAAAACTCTACTGTACTATACTTTACAACTAATGGGGCTGGAGTTCTAGGCTAACTTATTTCTTTCCAGTTTTTTTTTTCCCCTGAGACAGGGTTTCTCTGTGTAATAGCCCTGGCTATCTTGAAATTCACTTTGTAGACCAGGCTGACTTCGAACTCACAGAGATCTGCCTGCCTCTGCTTCCCAAGTGCTGGGATTAAAGGCGTGTGTCACTGCCGCCCGGCCTCCAGTATTTTTATAATTCTTTTATTTTTAGGTTTAAGAAATCCATGGTGAAGGGCTTGGATTCTTACGAAGAAAAAGAGGACGAGGTGATTAAAGAGGTAAGAGGCAGGAAGAAAGGCCTCTAAAAAGAGCCTCTCCCTGTCATCCTGAACCACCTTAAGCATTCTTTCTTCCACAGATGGCGGCTCAGATCCGTGAGGTCGAACAGAGTCGGCAGGAAGTGGTCCGATCTGTCTTAGAGGTTGGTTTCCCTCCGAGGACCCAGAGCAGTATCCAAATCCACTGATGCCTGGCTTCCCCCGGTCCAGCATTTCGACTGTCAGCTCTTCTCAGAGAATGGGTCACAAGTCCATACGCCTCAATTCCCTTCCCTGTCCACTGGGGCAGGGCACCTCAGTGGAAATGTGGGCAGGGCTGGGAGTTGGCAAAATGGGCAATATCCTCCATAAGATACTGGGGTCTGGAGTGTGGGGGCATGGCCCAGGCAGGCTCTTAAGCACCTTAGACACATTTATTTTTCCTGAATCAAACTCAGCCTCAGGCAGAGCCAGATCCAGAAGAGGGCTCTTCGGCACCTGGAGGCTGGAATGCCACCAACGGGTAAGTTGTCAGGGAACCTCTTGAGTTGGATGCTGAAAAACGGCAACAGCTCTGACCTTTGCCGTCCTCCCTTCTCAAGGACCTCATCTGCCAGCCTGGCTCCCCTGTCTTTCAGCCATGCAGCCTCCAGCTCACAGCAGGTATCACACTTGGACCTGCAACGTGTTCCAGAGCTTGACTGGATGGAGACAGGACAGCACCTGACATTCATTGGCCATCAGGTACAGGTGCAATGGGCAAGCAAACCGGAAGCGGTCACTGACCCCTCAGCCGTTTTGGCTTTTCTACCTCTTCTAGCCATCTGCAGCTCCTCTTGGTTTTCCTCACTATACCCTTCTGTGGTAGTGTTCCTAGACTCCATTGCAACCTTTCAGGGTGATCTTTTCATAACAGCCTTACAACATACTCTTTTTTTTTTTTTTTTTTTTTTTTTTTTGGTTTTTCGAGACAGGGTTTCTCTGTGTAGCTTTGCGCCTTTCCTGGAACTCACTTGGTAGCCCAGGCTGGCCTCGAACTCAGAGATCCACCTGGCTCTGCCTCCCGAGTGCTGGGATTAAAGGCGTGCGCCACCACCGCCCGGCACAACATACTCTTAATATAGGGTGCCCACACTTGGGTACCCCTGCAGGCATCTGAAATTATGTCCTACCACCCTGCTGTTGAATCCTAGCACCCCCTTCTATTTCCCATATTGCTGTGTGACTTGATTGACCAATTTTACCTCCTGTCTACCTCAGTCCCACCTTGGGACTGTTTCCAGTGACTGGAGTCACTGAAGTAGCTTGCCAGAAGTTGCGTTCCCTTCCATAAAGTTTGCCGTCTCTAGCTTTGAGTACTGTACCTCACAGTTTTCTTATCTCGTATCTTATTTTCACCACAGGATACACCTGGAGTTGGTAATATTCACTCAGGTAAGTTTCTGAGCACTATTTCTATGTCTGCAAGATAATTTTGGGGTTTTTTGTTGTTGAGACAGGGTTTCAATTTGCAGCCATGACTGGGGATGGCCTGGAACTCCAGAGATCTGTGTGACTCTGCCTCCTGAGTGCTGGGATTGAAGGTGTGCTTCACCAAGCCCAGCTGTTTGGATACAGGTTAATCCTTAGCTCATGCTGGCCCCGAGCTCCTGCCACAACTTCTCAAGTGCTGGAATTAGACATAGGCCCTGTATGACCTGTTTGCTATTTGCTTTTTATATAAAGCCTTAAAAAAAAAAAAACCACAAAGCCTATTTTGCCAGGGCGGTGGTGGCCCACACCTTTAATCCCAGCACTCGGGATGCAGAGGCTGACAGACCTTAGAGTTCGAGGCCAGCCTGGTCTAGAGTTCCAGGACAGCCAAGAATTTGTATCCAGAATAGATCAAAACTTGCAAGAGCTAAGGAAATGGCTCAATAAACGTATTGCTGTGCAAGCCTGAGGACCCAGCCTCCAATCCCCAGCACCTATACAAAAGCCAGGCATGACCCTAGCACTGTCTTAAGCGCTCACTGACTAGCCACACTAGCTGAAACCAAGCTTATTTCAGTGGCTTTTGTTTTCTCTGGGTAGCTTTGGAGCCTGTCCTGGAGCTCAGAGATCTGCCTGCTGCCTCCTCAGTGCTGGAATTAAAGGTGTTTGACACCACAGCCAAACTAACAGCAATAAAGAAACCTGTAACTCCAGCACTTTGGAAGCTGAGGCAGCAAGGTCTTGATTTTGAAGTCAACTTGAATTATATAGTGAAACCAGCTCCAAAAGGAATAAAAAGTCAGCCAAAACTATTGTCTATTAGCCAAATGGAAATGAGCTACTGCTACATTAAGTGACTAAAATATTAACTGCACTGAGTACTTAGCTGTTGTGAGGTGGAACTTCTGTAATCCTTCAAAGAGTGTAGTAACACTAACCTTGAAAGTTCAGCATACACTTACAAATACCCTTTCACTCTTTTTTTTTTTTTTTTTGGTTTTTCGAGACAGGGTTTCTGTGTAGCTTTGCGCCTCTCCTGGAACTCACTTGGTAGCCCAGGCTGGCCTCGAACTCACAGAGATCCGCCTGGCTCTGCCTCCCGAGTGCTGGGATTAAAGGCGTGAGCCACCACCCGCCCAGCCCCTTTCACTCTTAAGAGGTCCTTCTGAAAGAATGTGCCACCACCACTGGCTTGTCTCTCTTTAAACAGGATCGTAATGCCAGGGCTGTCCTGGAACCTGCCCTATAGACCAGGCTAGCCACTCCTCTCAAGGCAGAATTTAGGACCTAGGTTCAATAGCCAGTACTTCACATAGCAGCTCACAACCACCCAGAACCCCAGTTCCAGGGAATCTAATCCCTCTTGGGATCTCTGCAAGCACCAGGCATGCACATGGTACAGACATAACCACAGGAAAATACCGATACACATAAAAAAAAAAGGGGGGGGGGGGGCGGGGAAGGCACCAGAGACTATGGTTTCAATTACTCCTGGGCCTCTGACTCCAGAAACCCAGGTTTTTATTTTTGAGCACTCCTGGCTGGAACATGCTCCATAGTAAAGGGCTTTGCTTATTCTAGGTGCTGTGCCTCCGTGGATGATTCAAGAGGAGGAACACAGCTCTGGGAACCTACCAATAGGCCCTTCCTATGAAGAATTTCTTAAAGAAAGTAAGCACACTACCTTCCTATTCCATGCCATTTCCTAAGCTGGCTACAGTGCAGTTGTGTGTCAACAGACACACCTACTGAGCAGAGATCATCCAGGTCAACACATTTCCCCTTTGCAGAGGAAAAACAGAAACTGAAGAAACTCCCCCCAGAGCGAGTTGGGGCCAATTTTGACCACAGCTCCACCACCAGTGCAGGCTGGCTGCCCTCTTTTGGCAGAGTCTGGAATAATGGACGACGCTGGCAGTCCAGGTATGTGTCCAGACTCTAATCAGCCACCTCCTAGTATTTTCTATTAATCTTGCTGAGTCTTTATTTCTTTTTAGGCATCAATTCAAAACAGAAGCCGCAACAAGAAACAAGCAGTCACGTAAAGGAAAAAGCTGAAGGTGCCCAGCCCAATTCTCTTTCAATCTCATGGCCAACAAAACCATTCCAACTATTATTCCTAAAACCAATCCTCTCCAGTTGCCTTTCTTTGAAAACAGAAACACCCATTCATTTGATTTAATAAAGTTTTATTTTTCCAAATGTACAGCTGATTGAACCTGAAAACAAGAGAGAGGAGAAAGTCAAAATCAGGGTATCACAAAGGGGGAGTACACAGTATTTGAACACTGAGAGACCTCGGGGTCTCACCTGTTCAAGCATCTTCGCCAGCAGCTGGGGCATCTCCACCCTTTGTGTTTCTGGTGTAAATTACTTGGGCTCTGTGCTTTGAAACCAGCTTGATAAGTCCTAGGGAGAAAGGGTAAGGTTTTTAAATTTTGTGTTTGAAGGTTTGCCTGCATGGATGTATGTGCAAGTGTGTGCCCGATATCTGAGGCCACCTGGAACTGCTTTAACAGGGTTTTGAGCCATCTCTCCAGCCCCAAGGCCATGATTTTTATAGCAGATCCTTTCCCAAAGAGAATTACTTAGCAATTGGACCCTAAGTTCTTAGGGTGGTATTTGAAAGAGGGTCTCTCTCTGCGGCCCAAGCTGGCCTGGGAATTGGGATCCTTTGACCCTTCAATGTGCTGGGATCACAAGTGTGAACTGCTTTTAGGATTTACTATGAACTTAGTGTGTCTCAGTGCAAGCAAAATACCAGTGTGTGGGAAGTCAACTATCAGGAATCAGTTTTCTCCTTCCACCCTGTTGAAGCAGGAGCTCTCCTGCTACCGCACAGCAGTAAACTAGGCTAGCTGGCTGAGAGCTCCTGGCTGATTCTCCTGTCTCTGCCAAAGAAGTGTTGGGATTAAGTCACTGCATGAGGCTCTCTAGGACATGTACTTCTATACCAATGTAATCTTCCAGACCCTGAGTATGAATGTAATGGGCTACTACCTCCATGGTACATGGACCACAGTTCACTTTATATTTGTGATTTAACTAAAACTACACAACACCCAGCCCCACCACTTCAGTCGGTGTATTTAATAAAAGTTACTATAACCAAAACATGAGGTAGGGGGTAACTTCCCTGGGCTACACAGTGACATGTTATCCCTAACAGCATATTGGTGCTTGCCTTTAATCCCAATACCTGAGAAGCAGAAAAGGTCAGGAATTCAAGGCCAACCTTGACAGCTAAGACCCTGTCAATAGAGGCGGGCGGTGGTGGCACATGCCATTAATCCCAGCCCTCGGGGAGGCAGAGGCAGGCAGATCTCTGTGAGTTTGAGGCCAGCCTGGTCTACAGATCAAGTTCCAGGATAGGTTCCAAAGCTGCAGAAAAAAACTCTATCAATAACCCAGCAGCAGCAGGGCATGGTGGTGCAAGCCTTTAATTACAGCACTGGGGACAGAGGCAGGCTGTGAGTTTGAGGCCAGCCTGATTTACAAAGGCATTCCAGGAGAGCCAACACAGAGAAACTATCTCAAAAAATATGTATGTTTAAAAAGCTTTCCTGGTAATGCTACCAACAAGAAAACCCACTCCACAGAACATAGGCCATTATCACTTACCTTTACTAAGTAGCTCCTGAAGGGCTGCCCGGGCCAAAGAACCGCGAATCTTCAGTCTCTCGGAGACCACAGCTGGAGTGATGAGCTTGTAGTTGGGAACCTCCTTACAGAGTTTGTCGTATGTAGCTTTGTCAAACAGGACCAGATTGTTGAGCTTGTCCCGAACTTTGCCTTTGGACCACTTCTGCTCGTTAGAAGAAGAAAAGACCACTAGTCAGGAATTCTGGCAGAACTATCCTTTCCCAAATAACACAAGTCTGAGAAACCCCTCGTTATCATCTCAGGTAAGTTAAAGACTTCAAACTAAGTAACACACCCTGGCAACAAGAAAATTCGACAGCACCTGTTAGAATACTGTAGTTTGAAACAAAGACTTTATACTCATTTCCCCGTTTAAAGCAGCGGTTCTCAACTTGGGGTTTGCATAGCACATATTTACATTATGGTTTTTTTTTTTTAAGAGGGGGAGCATTTTTCGAGACAGGGTTTCTCTACATTATTATTCTTAACGGTAGCAAAATTACGCCGGGCGGAGGTGGCCCACGTCTCTAATCCCAGCTCTCGGGAGGCAGAGGCATAAGGATCGGAGTTCCACGCCAGCCTGGTCTACAGAGCAAAACCAGGACAGCCAGGGCTGTTACACAGTGACCCTGTATCGAAAATCCAAAAACAAAACCCCTCAATTGTGAGGTAGCAACGAATTAATTTTATGGTTGGGGGGTCATCACAACATGAGGAATTGTATTAAAGGGTCGCTGCATTCGGAAAGTCGAGAAGCACTGTTTTGAAGGAATATATACAACCGCATTCTTGAAATAACAAGATAGGAACAAAGTCAACGATCTGAAGGAAAAAAAAAAAATCACAGCACAGGGTCACGAAAGGTCCCCCAGAATCCTCCTTTATTACAAATGGCTACCCCCTACCTTCTTTTTGGCCTTGCCACCAGACTTATTCACTGGGTCTTTGTCTTTTTTGGCCGATTTTCCGGCATCTTTCTTCTTCTTGTCATCCTTGGGCGGCTAGGGGGCGAAAGCGGAGTGCAGGCAGGTCATAGGGTGGCCCCCGTCTCCCCGATTGGTGTATTTCTCCCACCCATGGCGGCGGCGGCGCCGGAGCACATGGAGGCAGTGCCCGCGGCAGCCCGAGACGCAGCCCCGCACATCACCAACCGCTCCCGGTAGCGTCCCCTTCACCGCCCCCCAGCACCGCTCGGCCCTCTGAACCCTGCTGCTCAACACTCGCGAGCCTCACCATGATGAAGCGCGGAGAGTGGCGACGACCACTGCAGCCTCCCTAAGATGTCGGAAAAAAAGGAAGCGCGGCTCGCCAACAGTCCCAGAAACCTCCGCCTCGAGAAAGTACTTCCGGGGCAAGAGGTGGGGGCCACGCTTAAACTCCGCCTCGCCCGCCTGCGAGAGACGGAATGGGAGGAGTGGCTTCCAGCCTGCAAGTCACGCCCCCTAGGCGCTGGCTGTGAATGGCTGGACCCCGCTGCCGGCCACCCGACAGCCACTCAGGCTCTTCTCTGGCTCTGAGGAACACAGTAGACCAGTTCCCAGAAATTCGTTTCTTCGAATTATGTGGGCTTGGTCTGCGCGTGCGCTTCGGGGTTGGGGAGGGGGGCGGCGGAGCAGAGGCGGGGCTATGACGTCAGTTCCGGGGCTGGAACGTCCGGAAGAGGCCGCGTTACAGCGCCTTTAGCGGGGCAGCGCAGCGATGGCGATTTTTAGTGTGTACGTGGTTAACAAAGCCGGCGGCCTGATTTACCAGTGGGACAGCTACTCGCCACGGGCTGAGGCCGAGAAAACTTTCAGCTACCCTCTGGACCTGTTGCTGAAACTGCACGACGAGCGAGTGCTGGTGGCTTTCGGCCAGCGCGATGGCATCCGGGGTGGGCTGGGCTCGAGGGCGGGGCCGGCTCTGCGGAAGTGGGGCTGGTGGGAAGGTGCAGGATTGGGAATCGCGGAGTAAAAGGGGGAGCGGCCAGTGGACCGGAGCGTGTCTGATCCTCAGCCTCTCTTCTGTAGTGGGCCACGCAGTGCTGGCCATCAATGGCATGGATGTGAATGGCAAGTACACGGCCGACGGGAAAGAAGTGCTGGAGTATCTAGGTAACTCTGCAAATTACCCGGTGTCCATTCGGTTCGGCCGGCCCCGCCTTACCTCTAACGAGAAGCTTATGCTGGCATCCATGTTCCACTCGTAAGTCCGCTCTCCCCCGCCCCCCTTAAACTTTTACTCCCCAGCAACTACCTCTAGGATGGCCAAAGTGTTTTCTGTGTACTGACAATCATTTTGTACCTCTTAAGTGGCCGAGTTCGGGTGTCGTGGGGAGATAACTGATAGACTCTATCTAGGTTTGAAGTAGTTTAATCTTGCCTAACTCAGCTTCTCTCCTGTTAGCTCTAGTTTCTTTAACATAAGGTAATTGAATTTTTTTTTTTTTCGGGACAAGTTTTCCTGTGTAGCCCTGGCTAGCCCTAGAACTTGCTCTGTAGACCAGGCTGGCCTCCAACTCACAGAAATCCGCCTGTCTCTGCCACCCAAGTGTGTGGAATAAAGGCGTGCACCACCACTGCCCGGCTAGGTAATTGAGTTAAATAGACATTAAAAGACTTCCTGTGGTGCGAGGTGTGTTGACATAGCCATGGCCATGGACTAAGAAGGTATGCACGTATTCCCTAACATGGTGGCTTTCGCTAACGTTTTTTGTGTAAAATGTTTCAGATTGGGGCTGGAGAGATGACCCAGTGCTTGCTGCTCTCCCAGAGAACCAGCATCCACATGGTGGCTCACAACTGTAACTCCAGTTCCAAAGGATTTGATGCCTTTTTCTGGCCTCTCTGGGTACCAGGCACACACGTGGTACACACACATACCTACAGACCAAAACACTCACCACCATAAGCCCATCTTTATTTTGTCCTTATTGCTACATAAAGCGGCCTATAGGGGAGGCTAGAGATGAAGTGACTTCACTGTCTTCAGGTAACTGAGCGACCAGACGTGAGATCAGAAATAAAATTTAAAAAATTAATCTTAGGGGAGTGTACAGTGTATTCAGAAGGCTCATGAATGTGAAAGAAATTTTGACACTGCTGCTAGGTAGTACACAGTATTTCTCCTGACTGTCCCAGGCTGTAAAGTGAACTCCTCAGATTAGGTATTTGAGTGGAAAAGTTTGAGGAGCACTTTTTCCTTACATCATCTGGTATATTCCCAACTTTACCTCTCCTGCATACAGGCTCTTTGCCATTGGTTCCCAGCTGTCTCCGGAACAGGGGAGTTCAGGCATTGAGATGCTGGAGACAGACACATTCAAACTGCACTGCTTCCAGACACTGACAGGTATGTGCCTACAGAGGTCATAGGGATAGATGGGACAGATTGGACCAAGGGATCGACTGGAGAAAGCTTTGGTAAATAAGGACAGGGAGGGTGTCAGGTTTTCCAGGGACAGTTGTACAAATACATCCATTTGTTTTGCGAATCCAAAGCCAATATTTAATCAGAGGCTGATTTTGTTTATGTCACCCAGTGTGCTCAACCCTGGTTATCTTGGGTTTAGATAAAATCCACATTAATGTTAGATTTCACACATTTTGGAATGCGTTGTTCCAAATAAAATTTGAAAGCCAAATAGACATGGCCTTTGGATCCTGCTTATCATCTCTTCACTCCTTGATGCCAATAACTGAACTGCCCAAGTTTTGTCTTCTGCTTGTCCTGTTTCTGCTGAGGGATTCCAAGACTACAAACGGCATTTAGACCCCAAGTTCAGTCATTCAGTCACCTGGTGACAGTGAAGTCACTTCATGTCTAGCCTGCTCTGTTAGCTGCTTGATGGGGCAGTAGGGACAGAGTAAAGGTGGGCTTATGGTAGTACTTCACAAAACTGAAAGGGCTGCAGAAACACAGGACGGTCCGTATCTGCTGCGTTCTCTGTCCTTGGGTAACCAACCATTCCTGGCCTTTCTCCAGGGATCAAGTTTGTGGTCCTGGCAGATCCTAGGCAAGCTGGAATAGATTCTCTTCTTCGAAAAATTTATGAGATTTACTCAGACTTTGCCCTCAAGAATCCATTCTACTCCTTGGAAATGCCTATCAGGTAGGTTTCCCCATCCCCCCATTCTGTCAGAACCTTGTCTCCCAAGTCACGTTAGGTAAGGACAACAGTCACCAGCTCTGTTTATCTTGAGAACACAGGGCTTCCTGGTGCTTCATGTCCTTCAAATAGTTTCTGCTGATTCTCCCTCTACCCTTTGTGGCAGGAGACTCAGACCTCACAATTTTTTGTCTTCTGGGTCTGGCCTAGATGTGAGCTGTTTGACCAGAACCTGAAGCTAGCTCTAGAGGTGGCAGAGAAGGCTGGCACTTTTGGACCTGGGTCATAGGCTGAACCTGGAATGAACCCCCTGAGACATGCTGCAGAGGGCTTTGCTGTTTCCACTCCAATGAGGATCCCATTGCAGTATGCCTTGTTAGTATACTTGAAAATGGGAGAACACTGAGCCTGGAGATGGGGACGGATCCTGGGCTAGAATGCCATGTTCTCTGCTCTTCTGTATATATCACAGTCCTACTCTGTACAGATTTATTTATGGAGGAAGCTGGCTTAGCAATGCTATAATAAACATTCCTTTGTTCTAGTGTTTGCTGTCCTAACTCGTGGTTTGGGAGAAAGGCATGGGAGGGGAAGGCAGAAATGGTAAGGGTGGTCTGCAAAGGTGAGGTACCGTCTGTTAGTAGAAAACAGAACAAATTGATGTTCACTAGCTAACATCATAGTTTGACTCTTGAGCCTGTCCTCGATGCAGTCCCAGAATTGCTGGTTTCCTGGGAGCCTCATGTGTGGTGGTGGTGGAGGATGGAGCACTTAATAGCACTTAGAATCAAACTAAGTTTTATCTCAGTATGCACTCTACCCTAGGATGCGCATCCTATTACAGACAGAATTTAGCAAATTACCAAATACTTGTGCTTCAAAGCCTTCAAGCCAGTTACTGATGGCCTGAGTTTGGATCCATGCTTTCTGACCTCCCTCCATCAAGTCATTTAACCTGCCTGTAACCCAAAAGTGTAGTGTTCAGCTGAATGTTGAGCTTGTACTCAACATTTATACTTCTCCTGTCTCACTTCAGAGAAAAATCTTTCCCTTTGGGGGTGGAAAGAGCAGTTACTGATAAGAATACTTTCCTGGGGGATGGCTCAGAGGTTAAGAGCGCTGACTGCTCTTCCAAAGGTGCTGAGTTCAATTCCAAGCAACCACATGGTGGCTCACAACGTCTATAATGAGAGCTGGCACCCTCTTCTGGCCTGCAGACATACATACAGGCAGAACACTGTACATAATAGATAAATCTTAAATAAAAATCAATCAATCAATAAATAAAACTTTCTCGAGGAAAGCTGTGTATTGCTTATGTCTCCCTTTGAAAGGATAAGCCAGCCAAGCGGTGGTGGTGGCACATGCCTTTAATCCCAGCACTTGGGAGGCAGAGGCAGGCGGATCTTTGTGAGTTCGAGGCCAGCCTGGTCTACAGAGCGAGATCCAGGAAAGGTACAAAGCTACACAGAGAAACCCTGTCTCGAAAAACCAAAAAAAAAAAAGAAAAAAGAAAGGATAAGCCACTGACTGTTTAGTATCAAATCTAGTTTTATTAATCTGTAACAAGTCGGCTTGCCTGCTATATTCCTCCATTCTGTCCCAGGGTATTGGTGAGGATGGTGGCTTCCTTTTTTCCCTTGGGGACTGAGGTATTGTCAATAACTTTGCCCCCTGCCAAGAAGCCTTGGGGTACAACAGAAAGCACAGGCATTAATGTTCTGCGGCTGCAGAGACAGGTTCATCTCACTAGGAGATGGGGACAGGACAGAACCTAGGAAAGGAAGGACAGAGGAGACACCCTGAATGCAGGAGTTGTCTGTCTGCTAAAGGTAGAAAGAGAAGCTGGTGGAGTCTAAAAACAAAACATCATTTAAATAGAGCATAGGGTGGGGAGTTGCGATCTTATTAGCCACTGATAACTTGCAGCACCAGGGAGGTCAAGGAGACAGTGTAGACACAGAAAGGTTCTATGCCAACCAGTGCAGCTTCTCCCTTTCTATGCCCTGCCAAGGAGGCTGAGGTTGGGGATGTTCCATCGTGAATACTCTCTTTACTCTGCCTTCTTGGGTACTCGGCCCATCTTGGTGCGGATATTTCGAAGCAAGAAGAAGACAACTGTGCTGGCTATACAAATCACTTCTGCCACCCAGAAGGCTGTGCTCCAGCTATAGTGCTTGGCGATGGTGCTGAAGGGTAACCCAGCCAGAAATCCGCCCACTGTTGGGGAGAGAAGAACCTGAGCCACATGTAAGGCTAAAACAGGTAGGCAGTTCTGTCTCTAGCAAGCCTGAGCAAGGCAGTGCCAGGAGGCAGCTATTCCAGGAAGTACCACTTACCATTTGCCATGAGTCCCACAATGGCATGAGAGGTGCCACACAAGTTGGGAGGTGCACTCTCATTGGCTATGACTCCAAACAAGGCAATGGGACCGTAAGAAGAGAAACCAAACACAGCTCCCAACACCAGGATCCAGATCTGCAAGGGCAGGGAGAGGTAGCATTGAGAATTAGCGCCCACAATTGCCTAAGGAGAAAAGAGTGCCTAGCCCTTAGTCAAGCTATAGTCAGCAGCCATCCTCACCCCACTCCCAATACAGCTGGTGATACAGATGGTAGTGAGCCAGCCCCAAGGGCCTAGGTGGACAGGGGCAGGGGAGGTAAGAGTCATCCCTCCTGAGTCGGATGTTGGCTGTTTCAGAATTTGTACAAGCTGGGCTGGTTAGGGGCAAGACAGGGGTGAGACAAAAGTGAGACAGACCAGGAGGAAAACCAGAGATCTTTAAGGCACCTCGTGCTCCGTAAAGCCCGTGAGCTCAGCCAGAGGATGGAGAGCAGCAGTCCAGAAAGCAGCGTCCTAGAGAGCAGAGGAAAGAGAAGAAAAGCAGGCCCAGAGTGGAGGGGGACACAGTGCCGGAGAGAAAGTATAAACAAACTGCACGGGGAGGAGGAGCTGGCCAGGGGAGAGAGTCCTGCTTTCCCTCCTTGTACCTGCAGCTTGCCAGGTTCTTTCTATTTACCTTGGGTGAGTCACTGGTCACTGTTACCCGGAAGAGGAACATGGATGCTGCCATGCCAGCCATCATGAACAGCAACAGGCCATGACGAGGGTTCCCATACATAGACAGCCCTGCCTACGGATACAGTGCCAGCCATATCAGGCCCTCCAAGCAAGGCAAAACACCCCCACCCCTGGACTCTGACACAGCAGGGCTATTGCTGACAGGTCTTTGGCAATCTGTCACAGTTCTTGGCCCCAGACAGCCCTGGGAGGCCCTGGGAGCTGCTTGGTGATCTGAGGCCAAATTCCACAACATCCCTTCCTCCACCTTGGGGCAGGCATGGGACACGTGCTAGGGAGCTGCGCCTAGTCCACTGCACCCCTAGTTTTCTTGGGGCAGAGGAGAAGCCGACTGAGAGGTTCTAGTTGTCTTTGCCATCAGTTAAAACTTTACCCACCCGTCTTATCTCCACATCTCAAGCAGATAAGAGAAGCCTGGGGTCATTCCTGTCTCACACAACTTCTGTGCCAACCAGCCCACACGCCAGGACTCCCATCCCTCCGTTAGGTAGTCCAGCCATGCAAGGGAGACGCAAAGGGCCTCTCTCCTGCTGACTCACCTTTGCCATGGCCCGGTCTGACAGATAGCCAGCTGCAATGCTGCCCACGAGGCCTCCAACCTCCAGGGCACTCATGTAGGAACTACCTGCATGGAGAATTGTGGGGAGACGGAAGGCAAGAAAATGAGAAGATGTTTCCCTACTGAGGTTGTCCCAAGATACAGAGTCGCACCTCCAAGGGTGCCCAGCCTCAGGGAAGGAGTCGGTGGATAAACGAAGGCAGAGCCTGGGTATCCCATCTGCATTGGCCCCTGTTCTTCACCCCCTTCCCTGTCCTCATCTTACCCACAAGGGCGGACTGGCCTCTCTCCTGGATAAGGAAGAACTGGCCCCAGTCTGTACAACAGGTCTTTACTCCAAAGACTACAAGGTAGCCAGTGGAGAGCACCCAGAGATAGGGGGACAGCAGCAGGTCCTGTAGGGTGCTGTCCTCCTTGGATGAACCTGGAGGTAGGAAGAGGCCAAATAGGATTTAGGCTCTGCTCCTGTTGGCCTGCCCCTACCACCACCACCATTTTAACCAGCTGCATGGCTAGTCTGGGAGCCACCAGGACTGACGTGACGGGTAACCCTTCAAACCCCTCTCTACCCTGCTGCAAAGGCCTCAGCAAATGATAGAGAAACTGAGGACTAGTACGGAGAGAAGAAGGCATCCAAAACACTTAAACGTAATGGGTCATCCAGAATAGAGAGGTCTGTGCTGCCAGAGAAGGCCCAGGATGTGCTGGCTTTGACTTAAGGGTAGAGTTTTACTTCCCCACCCTCCATTGCCATTCCTTCGCCTACGTCCTTTGACAAGCACAGTGCAAGGCTTAAGCTAATCATAACAAAATTGCGCCAAGTAAAGGGTGAATGAGGGTGCCTTAGGGGTCAGCTTGGCAGAGGCTCACCCTTTTTGCCCTTGGAGGGGGTAGGGTCCAGATTTCGGAGTCCAACATCAGCAGGTTCATTGTGGATGAGCAGCAGGCAGAGGAAGGAGACAGCCACGCACAGTGCCCCAGACAGGGCCAGGGTGCTGCGCCAGCTGTAGCTCTGGGCAAGAATCGTGGCCAAGATAGGTCCCAAACCTCCAGCCAGGTTCATGCTGGTTGACAACACAGCCCACCAAGTGCCAAACTGGGATGGCTCAAACCACTGTGACAGAAGGGGGCAGAATAGGTACCTGGCTTACAGTCCACACTGAGAGAATAGCTCAAGTGCGCAGACCTAGAGACTCCAATTACGGGGATGAGGGATAGAGCGCTTCTCCTTGGCAGAGCCAGTTCCCCCATCTGCCACCCGATCCCACCACTCTCAGGCTCCTAAAATATCCTGACAAGCGGCAGGAGCTGGCAGAGACCTCCTAAGAAACCTGCTATGGGTTGGGGTGAGAGGGGTGTGTAAGAAAAGGGTGTTCCCAAGTTCTCATTAGGTCCCCTCTGCCGCTCCAGACAGGCTTGTGGGATGCACTCACCTTCCTCAGGATCTTCCCACAGGGGGGCCAGCCCAGCCCCTGTGCCAGGCCATTAAGAAACCAGAGAGCAGCAAAGACTGGTACTGTGGAGCTCCAAGAGAAGACTACGTTGACCAGACCGACCAGGAGCAGCCCAGAGGAGAAGAGCCAGCGAGCGCTCATCTGATCAGACAGTACCCCACTCACAAACTTGCTGATGGCATAGGCTGCCGACTGGCTGCTGGTGATGAGCCCTGCAGCAAAGGGGAGCAGGGAACAGGCCACCTGAGCGGTTAGGGACGGGGCAGAGGTACAGGAGGGGTGGAGGAAGGCAAGGGGTCAGGTGGGGACAGGTGCTTGGCAGGGTGAAAGGGGTTCCTTCCCAGAGCTACGGCAGGACCCGTGCTGCAGATTTGACACTTTCCTGCCCGCTGAGCCATGTATCATAGGCCCAGGCTGACTTGGGACTTCTCAGCCTCTTGGATAATTCTATCTTCTGCAGCTGTCTGAACTAGAAGGGTGATGTTTTCCTCCCGGGAATTTGCATTTCCCACCTCACCCTGAATGCCACCTGAAGGCCCCAAGAAGTTCTGTTGCCCCGCCATGTCTGAAGGTGGAGGGAAGGGCTCTAGAGCGAAAGATCTTATACCTCCTGGAGGTAGCATGCATGGCAGGCCACATCAAATCGTGGGTGCTGCCTTCCCAGTGCTCACTAACCTGCAGGTATAGCATGCACCCACAGAGCCCCCCTAAATGTGCCTCCCCCGTACATGTGGGTCGCAGGCATACACACCAGATAACCAGCTAGCCTCAGTCCTTCACCCACACCCATGCACATGGAGCTCAGCCTCTGTACTTGGTACACGCTTGACTGACTCTACATGTACACTTCATGCTTGTACATGCCACACTCCAAACAGCGTATCCCACGGCCCACTCACTCCCCTCCCCTCCCAAGGCTTACCCAAATCATCCTTGTCCAGAGCAATCTCTACCACCAAGGATGGCATGACGAAGGAGAAGGTTTTGCGGTTAAAGTAGTACAGGCTGTAGCCCCCAAACATGGCTGCGAAGATGACAGCGCGATAATAGCCATAGCCTTGGGCCGCCATGGTAGAAGAAGCGGGCCCAGCAGGCCAGGTCACGGTGCTTCTGAGCACAGCCTCTTGACTGCTCCTGCTTGCCGCTAGCTCTCTTGGTGCCCAGATCTGCTGAGCTGTGTTTTTCTGCTCCCTCCTCCACCCAGGCTCTTTATAGCTGCCTTCTGGACAATCATTAAGCCTGGGGCAGCAACTAGGGAACCCAGTGTCCTGAGAGAGACCAGAAAACAGTGGATTACTGAAAGCCAAACTGGGGGAGGAGAGGGGTCCCCGAGGGAGGCGTGCCTGTCCCCACAACTTCTGCCTTTCCCTCCTCTCCCATGTCTTCTTGCCTGTGAAATCAGCTGTGATTAAAGGTTCAGCCTAATTACTTTTGTCTGCCTGAGCCCAGGGGAGGCAGGGGTAGGATGAGCAGAGCTGAGCCCAGTACAGCCCTACTCCCTTAGTCAATGAACTTTCTCATTCACTCAGGTTCAATGAAGGTTCCAGGTTGCCAGGCATCATGAAAGGCGCTAGAATGGTTTTACGCCCAGTCTCTTTCAATCAGTACCCTAAAAACCCCACTTCTGAGCCTTCTAGAGCTGACTGCCCCCAATGCTTAGCACACAATGGGCTATAACTTTGCTAATAGGTATCCCCTTTATCGTGGGAAACATTCTATGACCCCCCTCGTGGTGGTCATAGTGAACAATATGTACACTTCCCTTATATACACAATGATAAAACTTAAATATATAAATTAGGCCTGGTAAGAAATTAATAAAACAAGTATAGCAATGCACCATAATAAAAGATTCTTTACGTCTATTAATGGTTTATTTCTGGAATTTCCCATTTCATTTTCCCACTGCGGCTCGCCTCGGTCACTGAAATGTGCAAAGCACAACAGTGGATAAGAGGAAGCTAAGCTGGATGCAGTAGTTGCAGAATTTTAGCGGGGGGCAAACCCCTCAGTTCACTGTGATATATAGAAGGCGAGCTAAGGGTTCAAGTCTGGGTAAGAGCCCTCGGAACTGCCTCTGGGTCCCTATTACCCTGCGACATCAGTCAGGCTTCGGTCCCGCGGGAGTGTGAGCACCGCAGCATGTCACCGCGGCTTTCCGCTCGGCGGAGAGACCGCTGGAGCAGGAGTGGGCGCGAGGGAGCCGCACGTAGCCTCGGGAGGCCCCTCGCTTTGGCGGTCCAGGGTTGGCCTGTCAGGATGGGCAGGCGGCGCTGATCAGCACCTGCTCTGCACCCAGTGTCCTCATGCCACCCGGGACACCCGACTCCAGGCTGGGAACTGCGGGTCCCAGAGACAGGAGCAGGCGAGCGGCGGTAACAGAGCGCTGCAGCCACGAGGGCGCGGCGTCTGCACGACCGCTGTCCCTGGCCTGTGGAACTGTCGCCATGCCGGAAGGGCAGTTACAGGGACAGCCTCCTCCGCAGTCGGAAGTCAGGGGAGCCCCAAAGGCCCCAGGATTGCCCTCCGGTCCCGCCCTCACTGGCGCCCCTCCCTCGCATGCCACCCCTACCTGGACGGAGGCGGTAACCCCACTAGGACGGGGGCGGGGCTTGAGGAAGGCTGGTGCGCACGCACAGAGGTGGGCGGGGCTCGGCTTAGCCTTGCGGCTGACGGCTGTCGCCCTGGGATTGAAGGCGTCATCCTGCCTGTTACGCAGCTCCCTGCGTAAGGACAGCGACGCTTATAGGCTGAGCACCACATGTCCCCTTACGTTCCACCGACCAGTTTCTATAGCGTGCCTCCAGTTACCGTGCACATTCAGAAAACTAAAATAATCCCTGCTTGCAGGGGCTTGGTATTTTCTCTAAGAAATAAAAGCAATCTACAGCACAATTGGTAATTTTACATCGTGGTCAAGCTAATGGGAATAGAGACAAAACAATATAGCCCTAGCACTTAAAAGACACAATCCTGACTAAACTTTGGGTTCTTTTAAAATCTTTCTATTGGTCATGTATGCATATGCGTGGCGGGAGTTTGCGAGCATAGGTGCAGAGGCCAGAGGGCAGTCACGGGTGTCATCCTCCTCCAGGATACTGTAACTTCCTTTGAGACCAGTCTCTCATTGATTAGGGTAGGCAGCACACCTGGCTATTTCTTTTTCATATGGGAGCTAGGGATGGAATGTAGGTCTGCTCAAACTCTTTACCATCTGAGCCATCCCCAATCGCACATTCTAATCCTTGAGCCACGACTTTGTGGAGACACGGTTATAGCCCAGGCGAGCCTGGAACTCTGGGTGATCCTCCTGCCTCTGCCTCTAAGTATCTAGGGTTACTGACATGCCTGTAACCTGACTTGGATCCAGCAGACTAATAGTGGCCTTGGGCAACTGTTCACTGTCAGCTGCCAACCTCAGACCCTTTAGGGGCTCCACAGATGATTTGCATGAGAGAGCAGGAAAGTTAAGCCTGACCTGGACCAACTGCAGTCTCAACTACTCAGAAGGATGAGACAGGAAGTTCACAAATTCAAGGCCTACCTGACCTACAGAATGAGTTCAAGATTGAGAATGAATACTTTGGCAAGACCCTGTTAAGAAAAAAAAAAAAAAAAGTACAGTGAATGTATATCAGTTTAAGAAAAATGATACACTGTGTGTTCGTTCAACTGGTGGACAAAGGCAGGTTAAATAAATGCAAAGTAAATCCTCTTTGGAAACCCAGAACTCACTGTTCAGTATGAGGGGTTTTTTGTTCCTTTTTTTCTCCCCAGAGACAGGGTTTCTCTGTGTAACAGTCCTGGCTGTCCTGGAACTCACTTTGTAGACCAGGCTGACCTCAAACTCACTGAGATCCTCCTGCCTCTGCCTCCGGAGTGCTGGAATTAAAGGCGTGTGCTATCAGCCCTGGGCTTAATTTTTTTTTTTTTTTTTAATTAAGAATCCTCACCCTGGGCTGGAAAGATGGCTCAGAGGTTAAGAGCACTGACTGCTTTTCCAAAGGTCCTGAGTTCAATTCCCAGCAACCACATGGTGGCTCACAACCATCTGTAATGAGACCTGGTGCTCTCTTCTGGCCTGCAGGGATATATGCAGATAGAACACTATATACATAATAAATAAATCTTTAAAAAAATTTATTAAAAAAAAAAGAATCCTCACCCTGCTGTGTAGTAGTAGTACATGCCTTTAATCCCAGCACTTGGGAGGCAGAGACAGGTGGATCTCTGTGAGTTTGAGACTAGCCTGGTCTACAGAGCGAGTTCCAGAACAGCCAGAACTGTTACACAGAGAAAAACTGTCTCAAAAAAAAAAAAAACAAGAAAAAAAACAAGAAAAAGGAAGAGAGAGAGAATTCCCACCCAGCCGTGGAGGGGCCTCAGAACAGCTTAACCACACAGCTGCCATAACAGGCTTAGGAGCACAGACATCGATTCTGTGACAGGCTTATTGGCAGGCCACACCCAGATCCAGGAAAAGGCATAAGCTGACACCACCCAGGAATCCAACCAGGGATGGGGAAGTACCTATCATCCCCAAAATTCCAACCATTAGATAGTCCAGTCTAGCACACACCTATCTTTGTTTTACAGACACCCCTAGACAAATGTCAGCCAATCAGGGTCCTGGACCCTGGAAATCCCTTCACCCCAACTTCTGCTATGATAAAAGCCCTAACCTGCCTGGGCTCAGGGCTCTCTGCTCTCACTGCTGTGTGGGACAGACAGACCAAGCCCTGGAGCTTGAAAAAAGGCTCTTTGCTTTTACATTAAGGATTCGGTCTCCATGGTAGTCTTTTGGTGGTCCCCGAGATTTGGGCATACCAGATACAGGAGCATGTGTGTGTGTGTGTGTGTGTGTGTGTGCGCGTGTGCGTGTGGGTGTGCTGGAATGGGGGATTCCCTTAGTTAGGCATAGATGTGTAGTCCCAGCACTTGGAAGACAGATGGTTCAGCAATTAAGAGAACATACTCCAGAGTACCTGAGTTTGGTTTCTAGCACCCACATGAGGTGGCTCCTAACCACCTGTACCCAGCCCCTTTGGGTTCATCAGGCATCTGCACATAGGTATACATACCCACACATACATGTATCAAAAGAAATTTTTAATTGGGGGTGGAGGGATGACTCAGTGGTTAGGAGTACTTTCTTCGACAACCTGAGTTTGGATTACTGTACCTAGGCTAGGTGGTTTATAATCATCTAACTTTAGCTCCAGGGAATCTAGTATCCTCTTCTGGCTTCTACAAGCACCTGCATGAACACATGATATGCAGAGACATGCACACCTATGTATATGTGCACATAAAATAAAAATTTGGCTTTTATTCCATGTTAAAATTTAAGAAATAAAAAAACTTCTCTTATTTAACAGATGTGAGATGTGGGGACAATTAAGTGTATGTATTCCCTCCCCTTGTATGTATCACCCCTGTAATTACCACTCAGATGAAGAGATCTCTTTATTTATTTGGGGAAGTCTCAAACCTACTCTACAAAGTTTTAAGAATAATATTGACTTCTCAACAAATGTTAACACTGTAAAGTTTACCCAATTTCTCTGCATAAATATTCATAAATATGCCCATTACCAAGGCATATGAAAGCTGCAGGCATCATTAAACACCAAATTTCAATTTGGGGCCGCATATTACTGTAAAAACAAGGCTATTCTCCTATACAGCCACAACACCATTGTCACACTCAACCCAAGTCATGAGTGTGTCAGAAATGTAAGCATGTTGCCAAGTGGTGGTGTATACCTTTAATCCCAGCACTCAGGAGGCCGAGGCAGGTGGATCTCTGAGTCCGAGGCCAGCCTGGTTTACACAGCGAGTTCTTTAGATGGTCAGGGTTACATAAGAAACCCTGTCTTGGGGAAAAGAAAAGGGGGTGGAGAGGAAGCAAAACACATAATCTATAGAAAAGAATATTTTATTGAAACAGTTTCTCAATTAACAGTGGAACAAAGTACAATTTGATTCAAACCTGTCCAACCAGCCTGAACTGCTAATGAAAGAACTCAAACACACAGGAGGGGACTGACTACAGGACCTTTAGGTCCCTCTGCCAATGTGGCAAAAACAGGGAGGTGGGGTTGTTGGGGGGGGGGGGGGGAGACAAAATGACTGACATACCAGGTTTGCTTTGCCCCAGAAGTGGAGTAGCCCTAGCTCCTGCTCCAGGTGCAATACTGGAGGACAGGCACTCTAGACATGGGCATAACGGCAAGGGGCTTTCCCTCCGAGCAGGGTGCACTGCGAAGTTGAACCCTTACCCTCTTCCTTACCCACAAGCCTGCCTGAGAGTGAGGTGGCATTTTTACATTCACACCATGGTCTCTCTGTCCCTCAGTCTTGAGAAGGGGGCTCACAGTAGATAGCACGTTTTTTTGGTCAGCCCAGGGGGAAGAGGGAAAAAGCATGAGAGAAGGGGTAGGTGTCCCAGGAACTGGGGATAAGGATTACAAGTGCCTGCAGGATACTTGCATCCTTGCCAATCTCTCTACATACTTTCCTGGGCCCAAACAACCCACAGTAGGGGCTACAGGGCTTTCACATTCTCTCTCCTTCCATTGGGTAGTGGATTCCCTTACTTGCTCCCTGCTTGCTCTGGCCACCAGGGGTCGCAGGAAGCCTGAGAGCATGTTTACACAGTCCTGATGACGAAAGGCCGTGGGCTAAAGACCACAGCCCAGTGTATACTGGGAAGGCAAGGACAAAAGAGGTGAGGAGGAAAGGCAAGGGAAGAGAAGACAGAGGAGAGAGAGGAGAGAAAAGAGGCACTCAGGAACCAACGGTGGTGACTGAGGCTCTGTAGACACTGGCCCAAATAGGACACTGATTTTGTGGAACAGGAAAGGATGTAAGGATGCTCAGAGAAGACTGAGTACTCTCTAGTGTCGCAAAACACCCTTCCCACCACCAGGTCTCCACCAACCACTGGCGGCCATTCTCTCACTTACCCACAGGCAAACAATTCAGATATAATAGTGATTTTTCCCAAACACAGGGCCAGAGAGTAGGAGACCAGAGGGCAGAGCTGGGGACAGAACGAGATCCGGTTTCACCCATGGAGCTATTCCAGGACTGCTGAGCAGCCGCCTTCTGTCCCAGCTGAGAGAAGGAACTTGAACCTCTAATGGCAGGACCAACCCCAGCCCCAACCCTGATGTGTAATAAATAGAGGTGGTAGGAGAAGGGGCTGGAGGCAAGTGGGGAGACAGGAGGTGGGGTTATAGTTCGTCATTCTTCAAAGGCCGCTTCTGTCCTGCCGTCTGCTCTTTCTGTTCAGATTCTGCGGGATGGTGGAAAGAAGAGGAGAAGGCTGTTCTTCTCTTCCTCTGCAACCCTAACAGGCTGCCCAGCACCCCGTGCTTCACTCTTTTTTTTTTTTTTTTGGTTTTTCGAGACAGGGTTTCCCTGTGTAGCTTTGTGCCTTTCCTGGAACTCACTTGGTAGCCCAGGCTGGCCTCGAACTCACAGAGATCTGCCTGGCTCTGCCTCCT